ATATTAGCAACTGCTTCAAATATGCAAGGAAGGAAAGTTACAGCTGCCATTAGAACCATAACCAAAATAAGCTAAGGAAACTTAAAAGTAAAGTTTTCAGCCACAATATTGTATTACCCTGGAATCATATTACACACTACCAAGCCATTTCCAGTTCCTTCTTGCCCTCCTTCTTTCATATAAAAAATAAATATTATAAACTCTCTGACTCCTCACTGAGCACTTCTCCCTTCCAAATGAGCCTCAATGCAAGGATTGGGCCACATGAAATTCTGAGAACACTGGAGATCCAGATGAGGCCCAGCCAATAGATGGCACTATTTTACCAGGAAGAAACAGCACCTTTGCCAGTGTAGCACCAAGAGAAATGTGGAAGGCAGTGATGGGCAGCTGATTTGCAAAAACAGAACCTGAGAGGAATTCAGCACTAGTTTTTGGCTCTCAAAGAGATCCCAACTATCTCAGAGATTTCACCCCACCCATATCTTTGGCCTGATGTCAAGAGAAACTTCCTTCCCTCCCATCAAGAGCCTGGCAACTTGAGCCAGATCTTAGACTCCTGCCTCATAGAAAGGCCCCAGTTACAAGTCTTCCCTAGGCTACCAAGTTGACTGACACACTATCTCCTTCCAACAGTACCTTCAGTCTCAAAACTATGGATGCACCCAGCAAATCCAGCATGCAGTGAACCTCTTAAGTCAGTGATCCCAGACATTAACCAACTCATCCCCACCTACCAGAACACTCCTATATGCCATGCCACACCCTGTAACTCACCACCACTAGCCTGAGAGCTAGGTTTTGAACCACTACTTGAGAAAAGATGCATTGGTCAAATACATGTACGTAAAAGTTTTAAGATTCTTTGTAAAATATTTACAGACAGGCAAATTAGCTCAGTAAATTCACATAAATTGTCACATAGACAATAAATTTGGTCTCAGGAAGCAAGAGACACAAGTTATCCACTACAGCTTGACAGGGGGGCTGTCCTGTGGCCAATCTAATCACTGGCCTGCCCACCTGTCTAGGGCAGCCCACCTACCTGCCTCACCTTTGATGTAACCAAAATAGATGCTTATAAGGCAGGGGGCTGCCCATTTAATGCCCAATGCCAAGGGCATAATACACGGCTCTGTACCACCCCTACACACTGTCCCATGCCTCGCAGATGGCATCACTATGTGGCTGTTGCCCCACACTAGACCCCATTACATTCCAGTCTGTCACGTTGGACACCAACCTGGGTCCCTCCTAGTCAGGTGGCCTAACCTCCACCGCCTTGCAGAACTGAAAACTCCCTAGACCCCTTTCCCTCTCAGCAGTGGCCCCCTCTGGGACCTCTGGCCACACAGGCCCTGGCTTCACCTCTAGGCCAGCTGGAACTCCAGGCCCCTGGCTATGGGCACCCCTCATGGTGGGCACACTGGCCCTTGGACTGTTCTGGTCCTGGCCCCAGCATTGATTAATCAAGAGTTTCCTGGCTAGGTTCCTGAGCAGTTAGCCCTCTCCCTCATACAGGTCTGCCCTCTTGGGCCCCTCCAAACACAGCACACTCAGTCTCTAAGGCCAGTCTATGCACAGTCCTTCAGCCCTGCCCATGCAGACCCTACTCTATGCAGCCTACTCACACATGCCCCCTCACCAGGGCTACTACACAGCTCCCTCACCAGGACTACTAGGCCCTACACCTGTTGGGCCTCAGTGACATGCCTGGACCCCTCGTTTGCCCCTTCTACAGGGTAACCCACCAGGTCATGGGGGCTGAGGCTACACAGAGCCCCATCCTCACCTTTCACTGGGGAAGCACAGATGTGGCATTTCCTAGCAACCACCCCGCCACAGGCAGCCCCACCCCAGGGTTTATTTTTGGGTCAGTCCCCAGGACCAGGAACCTCCTCCACTCCCATACTTCCTATCCTTGACCTCCAGGGAAT